CAACTCGCGGTCTATGCCGGCGGTGTGACGAAAATCGTTAAATTTACGGTGATGGACAAACCAGCAATCTACAACGCCATACTTGGCACACCGTGGATCCATGAGATGAAAGCAATTGTGTCGACTTATCATCAATGCATGAAATTCGTCACTTCAGCCGGAGTCTTCACGCTTCGCGGGGATCAACAGATGGCAAGGTTTTGCTTCATCAGCGAACGAAAAGTGCGACTCTCCACGGCAAAAGCACTTGAAGACGCTAAATGGGCAACAAGGACTTAACGATAAGTCTCAGCTTTGTGGTTTTCTTTTTACAAAACCGGGCTCAGCCCCTGAGTGATAACACTCATTCAATACTTGTAATGAACTACGAACGGCTTGATTCCAATTCGGGTACGTAGGCAACCTTCGGGTGCAGCTGTAAATCCAATAAATTTATATTTCAGAAAATCAGCTCGGCGTATAAAGCCAAGTTTTCTTATGCGAATGCACCTTGCTGAGTTGATGTTCTGGCCAAACATTTAACTCGAAAAAGCAAGCACAAAACAAAAAACAAAAACAAAATAAGTGGCTGATCACCACTTCTTTGATGCTTCGGTTCGATTTAAATACTTCCGAAGCGGATAAGAAAAAAGCCGAGGACAATACTCGCACGACCCTCGATCATATCTTTTAGGCCAAAGTGAATCCTGAAAAATTGGTATTCGATCTTGATCGTCGTTTGGTGTAAGACGGGCAAAGGAATCCCGCTTTCAGCTTTGAACTAAAAAGTTCCGTCGCAAATAAAAATAACGAAGAACGATTACAAAGAACCTTTTTATTAAGGGAATAACGAGCCATTTCAGGCAAAAATTCTTACAAAAGAATAAATATAACCAAAAAAAAAAAAATTATGCTGAATTTATAGCCCGTCAATATCTGATCTACTCGGAAGATTGAGGTCGGCACTCGTAACGACTATCTCGTCAATGGCATCGCTGGCTGCCTTCCACTTGGCGAACTCCCTCTGAAAAGACGGAAGGGTCCCGGCAGGAAGCTCCCACCCTTTCTCTTGCATCTTTTTTAAGAAAGCCACCATATGGCTGCTTTTTTCCACACCGACAAGGGCTGCTTCCACTTTTTCGCGCTGAACCAGCGAGGCTTGAATCCGATCTAAACGCCGCTTAAGCCAAGCAGACATGCCATCAAAAACTTTGTTGACAGCATCTCGAGCAGCTTCTTCGCAAGCCTTTTGCAGCTTCTCCTTATCGGCGAAAAATCCTTGCAAATTCTCTTCATTCCACTTTTCGAGAAGCTCATTAGCTTCAGACACCTCACCCTTGAAAGTATCAACGGCGCCTTCCAGCTGAGCGCACCGCTCCTTGAGAAGCTGATTTTCTTCCTCCGCCTTTTTAAGCTCCTTGATCTTGGAAGACGCAGCATTCACCATCGCTTCCTCCTCGCACCAGCTTTCGTCATACGCAGCAAACGCGGACATATACTTTCCCAAACCCTGTATCATAACCGGCTATCAGAAACGCACCAAAGACAGGAAAAAGGTAAAACAACACAATCATCAGATAAATAAAATTACCCGAGCTATTAATCGGCTCGCCGAGGAGATCGAGCTCGCTAGCTTCAGCTCTTGTAGTGGCTTACCCCATCGCGGCTTCTCCCTGCACTTCCAGATCAAGTCCGCGGCGAATTTGCGATCCAGCATCGCCGGAGTATTCCCATCCCAGCTCACACAAAAATGATGAGGATTATAGTCAAAAGACTCTTCCTCCTGCTTAGGTTCGACCGGTACACTTGGTTCGGCACCCCCTGCAGCCTCTTGAGCAGCCTCCTCCGGAACGTCAGGATCAGCCTCTTCCGTATCCGGGGCAACCTCGGGAGGGGTCGGCCCTTCAGAATCAGTTGTACCGGGCTTCTCGGTCCTCTCCCGACCTACATCTTCTGTGACATGTGTCTCAAGACTTTGAGACACACCTGTCCGAGGCGGTGAACGAACGTCCATACGAGGCGATAATGGAGCATCGACTGAAGGGGAAACAACCTCGCGACGGCTCCTGGCAGCATCCGAATCACCCTTTCTATCCGCGACTTGAGAGGCGGGAGTATAGGACGCCTCACCCTGTGAACCCTTTGCGGCTTTCTCAGCCCGCATCCGTCTCAATCTCTCCAGCACCGCCGCCCTTGAAAAACTTTGGAATACAAAAGCAATGTAGCGTCAGAAATCTCTTCGGTATAATATAATAACGCGCGAAACCAAAATTTTTTTTTATCTCGCCAGAGTCTCGGACTCAGCAGTCGCTTCAGCGTCATCTGAATCCTCCAAGCTGGGTGGATCCTGGGAAGTCTTCTTCCTCTTTGCAAACGTACTCACAGGCGCTTCGGCCGAAGTCGCCTTCCTCTTTCTCCGATCAGCCTCTGCAGGCTTCGGTTGCGAGACCCCTCGTGAAGCTAAAATAATAAACGCGTCAATAAAATCGCTAACCAGCCAATATTGTTCTAATTTAACAGCCTACCTGCTTTCGAGGGTTTGGCCTTCTTCTCGGCAGGCTTAACCGCCTTCTGACTAGCAGCCCCCTTCTTCTCCTTTTCGGCCCATAACTGCCGACTCAGGTCGCGCAGCCTCTTGACGTCTTCGTCAAACCCGATTGGATCCTCTCCAAGACGTATTTCCACTACAATGACGAAAACGCATTAGTACTCAGCAAGTAATCAAACAAGGTAAAGAAATAAAAATCAATATTCTCCTTACATGGCGCCTATCTCCAAGCTCTAAAGAGGGTAAGATCGGAACCACCGATGGATGCTTCATTAATCTTCACAAAAAAGAAATACCGGTCCCATTCGTGGACCTTGCTCGTCGGATTACCACCTATGATCCCCTCCTTCATCATTGTGTAAAAATGGCGCCACCCGCCGCGGTTCACCCTTCCTCTCTTCATGATGGACACCCTCTCAAAAATATCCCAGTTAAAGGGAACCATAGCTGCACGAGCCACCGCCACCAAGCTATTGAAGTGACGGATTACGGCATGGATAAGCTGCGCCACCGGCATCTTTCTCCGTTCGCAATAACGAAGAAGCAATGAGATCGGAAACTGAAGGCCGAACTCTGTGAAATGACACTCGTATAAGCAGAAATAACCCTCTGGGGGTGTGGTCACTCTCTCGTGAACTTGAGGAAGCAGCAGTTCGACCTCGTTGAGAAAACCACACTTCAAACGAAGCTCCTCGAGCCTTTCTGCTGTCATCCAAGTCCTTACGTCTTTAACGCCGGACCTGTGTGGAGACATTGCAATTTTCTCAGGAAGACCCTCGATCCTAATCTCCGATTCAAAACACGAAGGTCCAGGACCATCCAAATCCACTTCGGAGTCCGCATCGGGATGATCCGACGGAATCTCATCCCGATAATCTGAAGAGCCCTCGGAAATGGAAGAAGTAGAAGCAACTGGACTAATCCAGGCCTGCTTAGCACGGTCAGCGAGACAAATCTCGTCATCATCAAAAGAAGAATGCGAGGAAGCAGCAGACATCTTTGAAATTTGGAAATGAAATAAAAGAGCAAAGGAAAATAGGCAAATTGCTATAGCAGATTGCTGTAGAAATCGGCAAAGGATACAAAGATTTTCCAAAAAGAAAGAAGATGAAGAGGTAAAAGTAAAGTAAATAAAATCGGAAAGAAATATCAACAGTTTCCTAAGAAGACGCGTGTCAATATTTTTACAATCTCGCCGTCTGGCGAACCCTTCGCATTTCCCTCTGAAAAGCAGAAAACCCAAATAGATCGGAATATTTAATAAATAAAAGCACCGCATGACAAATCCGCTAAAAATCAAGCCGAACTGGCTATTGCAAAAGCAACGCCCTTGACGAACTGACAGTTATTGCGAGGTCAAACCTATCTATAACTTCATGAAATCCGCCAACCTGATTTACAATCAGTCTCGCCGAATTGGGGGGGGGGGGGGACTTACTGTTAGAGGGGAAATAAGCACATTTCCTAAAAAGGCCTTCCCCGCAATAACCTAAGCCCATCAAGACCAGGAAGACCGCACCGACCTAGCTCAGAATAAAGGAAAAGTCTTAAAAGATAATTATGGAAGACCGGGAACATCGGATTTTCCAAAAGATAAAGGAGAATTTCCATATTCTTCGGAGAATAAGAGATATTTCCATATCGTAGATACGAAAATATTCACGAAGGACAAAAGAAAAAGGAGTTCAGAGCAACCGACCTCCTATCCCTATAAATACAGAGACTCCGAAGCCTAGAAGGACAATTCATACAATCTAGAGAGCAGCAGAGCTAAAAACAGATACTCCAACGCTTTCTAGTTTACTTTGCAAATCTTCTTTTCACTTCGGCATAACCTCTCGGTTATACGTTTCTTTGTAATTACTGCGCTTTCTTATTATTAATAAAAAATTTTATTCTCCAAAACTCACAACTGTTAATCAAATCATAGTGGTGATTTTCTGGTTCAACACACACCTAGCTTATATATAAATCTCCCCTCTTCATTTTTTCCTTGTTATTTTCTAACAATTATAACTTTTCCTAACCAATAAGACTCATAACCCACTTTTCAAATAAATGTAAACCATATTCTCAACATTTTCATAACTCATTTAAAAAACACATTTCTTTTAGAATGATCTGGTAAAGTGACATGTTTATATACATATTAAGAATGCATGCATCTTTTTATTTCCTAGAAAATCTTAAAATGAAAAAGTTAATATTTTATGCTATTAAAGAGAAATATATATATATATATATATACACATATAACTAATTTCTGACAAGTCATGGTGTTGGCCACATAATATCTATTAAAATTTAAGATATTTTTCCTCATCTAAATACATTTAAAGATAAGAATGGTTTTCAATTAATGGTATGATATCTAGAGGTACAGTTGGTACTTGGATTAATGGAATGTACTTGCGAATCTACTTCTTATGAATACTAGAACAACTCCAAATTATTGGCTTGATCCAAAATAAAAGGGTAAAGTAAATTTGGTAAAGTCCATATACAAATTTAGGGGCCCTTCTAATTCCGACAACATACACTTTTTCTTACAAAATTAAGAATCTTTTTGTGTAGACAGTAGTTGTGTTACGATGTCGAACCCCAACGCGCCACACCCGCCGAGACATCTGACCAAGCAGTACTCATGGTCGCATGATGTGAATCGCAATGAGTCTTGGCTACGGAGGAAAAAGAAACAACCATTGGATCAAATGCGTCGCAGCAAGAGCGTCACCAACGATGATCTCGAGGAACTTAAAGGCTGCATTGAGCTGGGGTTTGAGTTTGAGCCAGATTCTCCTGATTTGAATCAAAGGCTCTCTGATACAATCCCGGCTCTGGATTTGTACTGCGCTATTCAGAGACAGTATAGCAACCATTTATCCCGGACGTCGTCGTTTGCGTCCGAATGTGACGTCAGTAACTCTAGCACCACTACGATTATCGACAAAGGTATGTAAATTTGAATTTTTTTTATAAAGTCATGGGCGTTCCGGATCTTGATCCATAATCTTCCACAGTTTTCAGAGTTAATCTTTCTATATGTTTTGATTTAAATAATAACATTTTGTTTCAAATAAGGCTTGAACCCGGAATCTCTTGTAGTACCATTAGGCCACCACCCTATCAGTGAATTAGATATTTTTTTTATTAAGTTTTTTTGTTTGGTTTTGATCTGATGATATGAGGATTATAAATTTGAAAAGGTGATGATCGGAAGACGATGAAGCAGAAGTTGAAGCAATGGGCTCATGTGGTCGGTTTTTCGGTGCGGCATATCTCAGGGAAACCAAAATGATCCTTTTCGAATTTTTTCTAGTGATGTATAAAAATGTCAGCTTTTGTAATATAACTCTGATTGATGCTCTACAACGTTTCTTCTCTTATGTGGAAGAATTGGTGATTTAATTGTTAGTTAGTGAGGTTTGTGAAGTAACCTAGTGGATAAGACATCGTATTGTCAAAGCAAGTGTAAACTAAAATTAACATCATGTATTGTCATTTTAATATGATTTTTCTCTTCTGTTTTTCTTCATTTTTTCTTGTGGGTAGGACATCAATCATCTACGAAAACTGCTGGAAAACTTAATTTTTTATCTTCATTCATAACGAATTATAAAACAGTAAAGTTCAAAAGAAAAAAAATAAAAATAAAAATAAATTATAAAACAGTTCAGTATTTTCACTATATCGTATACAATAAAACATTGTTTTTGTTCTAAAACACAAATACACAAAAAAAGCTGTTCTTCGTTTTAAATGGCGTTAGTTTTATTTTTAATTCAAAAGAAGAGCTAAGTTTTATTTTAATTTAAAAGAAGAACCAACTATCGATTGCAAAACCATTTGTTCTCAGACAGTCATGCAGTGATGCAAGCCATAACTGATATCCAGGCTGGTTTACAAATAAACATTTGGAAGAAAAATAGAATGGCAAGGGAAATAACCTTGGTCCTTGGTGATAAGTCAGGCCGTTAGTACGATGAGCCCAAACTACTTGACCAACAAGAAAAGTTTCTCCACTTGCCATTAACAAAGAAAAAAAAAGTGAAGATTAAGAGCCCTGTCAGCCAGGAGAGGACATCAATTTTCAGACCAGAGGTACAAACATGGGCCATGTTCTTTTGTCAACAGCTGCGGCAGCCTCTGCGACAGAAAAATACACTACTATCGACTATAATAATGCTTTGATCTCGTTTCATTTTTGCCGCTGCGGCTCTCTTTGGACAAAAAACACTTTTAATTTCAGTTCAATATGTCGTTTCTTTTGTTGTTGTATCACTGGTATTGCCGTTTTGCATTGTCGCAGCCCACTGCCGCAACGTTTGACAAAAGAACATGGCTATGGAATTATCTATTCCTCCCTGATCAAGGAGGTTCACACAACAAACTCAAGCCAAATTAACAATTTTTAAGGACAAAAATTTGTCAAGAAGGAGAGAATGACGAAGACCTTGAACCACACTAATCAAAATGCATCCATAAACGATAACAGATGGAATAATGGAGAACTGAGTCTAAAGTCTTTTATTCCATCCCGAAGATTCGAGATTTATAATCAAATCAGAGATATTCAGAAGGTCAAATGAAGTAGATTCATTACACTTGGCCATTCATTCTAACATCTATCAATTTGCCAAAATATTTGCTATTTTGACTCTACATTTATTTGGCTAGATATTTGCCATCAATTTAGCTTTTGTTTATAACCATTAGAGGTATCAGTGTAATATCCTGATTTCAAGAATTTGAGTACATATATACAGAGTTTTAAAATAATTGATTTGCATATTTGTCTTTGCGGTTACTTATTTTAAAAGAATTCTAAGTTAAGCGTGTATGAACTGAAATAGTACTATGATAGGTGATTTATCAAGATATAATTTCTCCAGAAATTCTAAACTCCAGTTCTGTAGACCTCCAGGTTCTTTTGTCAGCTCCTTCCAAAGCCTGTGCAACTCTTTGGTGTCTTCCTTCTGGGGAAGCACCTGCTTTACAGAGCATTATTCCTTTAGAAATTGGGACTCCACTCCCACAGACCTTCGGGTTTTCCTTGCCAGCTCCTTCCAGAGACCGTGCGAACGCCCAATGTGCTCCTTCCGAGGACGTGCTTGCTTTCCAGGGCACCATCGAAATTGAACTCTCTCCTTTTGAGGGATTTCTCTTCTCAAAAACCCTCCCCAACACCAATGTAAAACCATGAAATTTCCACGTAAGTACAACACGAAGACTGTCCAAACAATAAGGAATTCAGGGTAACGCCTCCGGAAATGCCCTGTTTTGCGACAAGTAGGCTGGCACAAGCTGCAAAAAAAAAAGCAATGACATCCCCCTTGTGTTAGCAACTTGCGCACGGGGACCATCTTTTCACCCCCTCAAGGCGCCATCCGTCTTTCTTGAGTAGATGTCTCAAATCGCATCGTTGTCTTATGTTAATCCTCTTGATCACATAAGACTATAATTTCTCCATAATCAGGAAGACAATTTCTTGTCTAGTGCCTCACAAAATAAGAAATAAACTTACTCCAGGGAGATGCTTATCTGTGGAAGACCAATAGTTCTTCGGGAACCTAACATCCTCCTATTCTGGACAAGTGTGTACTCTTCTGGGATGTACGCCCAAGCCGGGATAGGATCCAATCTAACTGTTCTCTAGTGAACCTAACTATTTTTCCAAAAATTTATTTGTTTCTCCGGAATCCTGTTTCACTCCGACTAGACCCGTACTCTTTTGTTTCTCCAGAAACCCTGTCCTACTTCGGCCAGACTCGTACTCTTCCTATATGTGTAGCAAGGAAGGTCAGGGGCTAACCAACACAACTGTTACTCTGGAAACCTCTTTCACCTCGACTAGACTTGTATTCTTACGGGATGCATAGTACGGTCGAGAGTTAACCATTCAAATACAGTATCAAACCGACTAAATCCTTCGGGTATCGAATAAACTGTGAAAGTCTTGCAGGAACAGCAAAAGGGTCGACTCCCCGACTCGTTTTCAATTAGTCGCGAAGTTGAAGGTAAAATTTGGGCCCATGTGACCAACCACGAGACGACACGTTACAATGGGCCCTATTGAAGGGTTGACTTCTTCACCTAGGCCTGTTCCAACGGCTCCCTAGCAAGCTGTTCCCAAATAGTTGGCGGGCTTCTCAAGTCACAGAAGTGCTGCGCTAGCCCACCGAATCCAACCATGTGCCACGTTGATGGGATAGGACGGAAGAGATGGAGTATAAAAGGGAACAAAGGCCAAAGGAGAAGGGGAACGAGAATCTGAGATCCGTATGGAATAAGAGACAGAATACACCAAAACTAGAGAGATAAACTGAGAGAGGAGGTGGGATCATCTATCATCGTGATCCACCTCGGGGCTCATCATGATCCTTGCCATACAACCGAACTAAAGGGGGTAACCTGCCGTGCCTGGAAGGAACGCCAGCCGAGTTAAGCGTTCTCTTCCATGTTCATCCTCTGTTTTAACATTTATGAAGAGAGAGTTCCAACCCCATTGTCGACATGGTCCACCTATAATACGTCCACCGTTACCCAAATATCAAACGACTATCAAGATCTTTGAATGGGATATCCAAACCATAAACAACACCACATATCCACCTTCCCGAGCATAACTAACTTGAACGTCGGAGAACCTTCGGTAGAGAAACCCCTTCTAGTTTTCCTAGAGGCCCGACTTACCCGTTTTCAGTGTAAACACAGCCAATCAGACTTTCACTCTGGGATCGCATACCGTTCATCTTCCTAGAGGATAAAACTCAGAAACCTAAATCCATCATCTAGACAATCACATATCCCACATCAACATCCTGTAAATTCCTCACAAACAGATGATATATATATATATATATATAGTAGAGAAAAAGAAAAAACATACACACAGACTAAATATAAAAATAATTTTTATCAAAAAAATAGTACAATAATAATTAAATAATATTAAATATAAAAAACCTAAAAGTAATTATTAAAATACTTATAATAATAAAAAACAATAATTTATTGAAAGTATAGATCAAACTTACGTGACATATAAAACTAAAAAAAAAATTAAAATAGCAGATAAAAGAAAAAAAATTGCATTAAAACAACATAAAATTTAAATAACGAAATTATACAAAAAACTAAAACTAAAATATAACAATAAATAAAATTATCGCCAAGCGTATTATGGATATTTTCCATACTGTTCAATATATGTCAATTTAAGAGAATATGTATAATTTTCGATATAGTGACAAAGATAGTTTCAAATAGTTTTCTAAGATTTTAGCCGACATAATCTTGTATAAATACTTATGTTCATCATTGTTAATAACACAAGTCACTTTCATATCCAATAGTACATGGTATCAGAGCTAAAGATCTAGCTAAATTCTCTTAAAAAATTTTCTTTTTCTTTGAACAAAGTTGTTCATTCATAAGTAACGATGTCTCTAACTACCCGAGTAGTACATTTTGGCGAGTCAAGATTGATGAACCAAAGTCAGAGATTGTTTCTCATAATCCCTACACGTTGTATGGATCTGATAACCCTGGTTTAATGATTACTCCGGTTATGTTAAACGGAGATAATTATAAGCAGTGGGCAACATAAATGCTTAAAGCACTAGCCAAGCGAAAAACAATGTTCATCAACGGTACATTGAAGAAACCACCAATTACTGATCCTAAATATGAAAATTGGGTTGCCATCAATTCAATGATCATTGGTTGGATCTGTGCTTCTATCGAGCCAATGATGAAATATACCATGACGTTGTTTATTTCAAAGGCTCATTAGTTGTGGGCTCAATTGAAGCTATGTTTCTTCGCCGGAAACAAAGTTCGTATTCACCAGATCAAAGCTAATCTTGCGTCATGTCGCTAAGATGGGCACTCCATTTTTGAGTATTATGGAAAGCTTTGTGCTTTGTGGGAAGAGTACGAGGTTTACCGACATTTGCCTTTATGTACGTGTGGAGCGCCTCACGAGATATCACGAGAAAAAATAGACGACAAGGTTCATCAGTTCGTTTTGGACCTTGATGATTCTCGCTATGGAAATCTGTGTACATCCATTGTTGGAATAAATCCATTACTGTATGTGGAAGAAGTCTACTCCAAAGTGTTTCATGAAGAACATAGGTTGTCATCCACTTGGCATCATAAACAACGTTCAGATGCGGTGGGATTTGTGTCTCGGCAGGTTAATTCTTCATCATCAAACCGTGGTGAACATCAGCATGGAGTGGACACAACAATCCTATCTACACAGTCTCGTTCTCTGCTATGCTCGCATTGCAGACGTAATGGATATGAGAAGAAGGATTTCTGTCAGGTCATGGGTTTTCTGGAGTGGTGAACAGAGCG